AAATGCTCTGAGATTGTACTGAGGATATACTACAGCACTGCTAAACATGTTTATGGTAGAAATGAGTGAAATCTCAAGATATCAAAATCTTCGATGAACCGCTGCTCGCGAGCCAGGGATTATCGATAAAATCAAAACCTTCAAATTCCATTTCTTCTGTCGAAAAGATGCTCAGCAGTATCCTAGTATATCTTCAGTACAATTTTGCAGCATTTTCATTGCTTTTTCAGGAAGATAAATGACCTTGAAAATGTGAGGTGATCCCCTGGGGATCCCCAGGGGATCAGACGAGATAGTGAATATCTAATCTTGTATGGCAGTAACCTGGCGTCCGTTATGCGCAGGTATCAGTGTATGAGAAACTTCATAAGCAAGACAGAGAAAGAAGGAGAAAGATATGTAGACTAGCGAGATTTGACGCTTCCCCTCTCAGATCCCCTCCCCTCCCCGCAGGGATGTACGTGCATACGGGTCTTAGTAGGATACAAATGAGGCTCATCATGATTAAACTACTTAGTTTCACCCGTATAAGGAGTACAAGGACCATGATTCTCCAGCATAACTGGGATGCACACGTAGTGTGAATTTGCTAACCGCAAATTCACTAGGCATGGCTATACCTCGTGCGAGCTGAGAAGAGCATTCTTGGAAATTTTCCATTAAATAAGATGAATTCTTCTTTTATAGGATTTTGAATGGTTGTTCAAGAATCTAGCACCTTTGAAACCAGTGTTGTAGCCTTGTCATAGGTGGCTCTGACGGTCACACAGATTGGCAAAGGTTTTACACCCACACATATAGCTGAAGAGGTATGGTTTCCTGTATTTCCTAGCATCCGTACCTGAAACCTAGTATGCTCTTTCTTTTTGCAGAATTCGTTTATGCGGTGAATATTTCTCTATTTGCCTCAAATCAAACGGTTTCCCTTTCGAGGAAGCGTGTAATGCTTCTTGTAAGGGAAACCGTATTTAAAGTCTATCCAGACATAGAAATCTTCTGCAAATTTTACTTCAAAAACTTCGCAACAACTTCACGTCAAGTGGTGTCTGAATCAAACCTTGGTGCTCCGAAGAACACCATTTGCGTTGTGTATTAAGCGGCTTTTGGAATTCATTTATAGCCAAGAAATTTGTTTTTTATACTCCAGCCGGTCCGAAATTTCATCCTCACTGACTATTGCTCCACTTGCAAAGGGTATGATCGGTCATGCCACGATCTGAGTAAAGCTGTCAAATTTTCTGATTTAGCAAAGGCTCTCGAGCAAATAGAAGGTTCTGGTATTTTTTAGGCATTCATCAGCGCAGTTAAGATCTATTACTACCGCTGTCGAAATGCGCTGACAATGCATACTATAGTTAGAATCGAATCAGTGATCGAATAACTTATCCGAAAATCCTGCTACTTGAATATTCGAATAGTCGAATATTTGAGAAGTCCAATTATTCGATTATTCGAATAGTCGAATAAATAAAGGCCTGTATTCGAAAAGTGAGTTATTCGAATATTCATTCATTCGAGGATTTAAAAAAAAACAGTTATTCAAATATTTGAACATTCGAGCCAACTTGAAAGACAATTATCCGGATATATGAAAAAAATTATTTATACGAATATTCGATGTCAAAAGATAATTTCGGGCTGTTCGATATTGAGTGCAAGTATATCCCCGATTGGTCAGTCATACACATGAATGATCATATGACAGAATGGCTGGCAAGGCTCCATTTTTAAGTCAATCGCGAGTCATGCCAGTGCATAGTGATGAAGAGTTTTATGCATAATTCGTTTGGAGTGGTGAATATCTTTTGCAAATCTCGCGTCTGCAGTAGTTAATGTGCGATATCATGCGCAAATATCTTCAAGCTCAAAAGTGCGTGAAGAAACAAAGCGTCATTGGGCGCCACTTTAGCGGACCACTGGTCTTCAAACAGCTTGCATATGCATGTGGAGGACCGGCAGTCCTTCGAGGCAGCACGTATTGGCAACATTCATTCCTTCATCCAATGACCTCCACTTGCTTTGTCAGCGGCCTAATCACCGCCCGCAGTCAAAATACCTGAAAGGCACTTTAACCAGAGCAGAGCAAGACCAGAGCAAGGCGGTAGCGAGAATCTGAGCCGCTTGACTTGTGACGGCAGTATGTCAGTCACCGTACTCAAATCTACTGCCTTTAGAGTTAGGAGGCGTAAAAAACTAGTGTTAAAATATTGCAAAGTTTATAGAGGAATAATACTTTGAGAAGGCGTGTAGGTTGAACAACAATCATTTTGAACCTTATTAAAAGATGTGGAAGATCTTTTACAACAAAAGTACAAACCTCAAAAGTACAGCTAAAACAACTTTGTGAGAATTTTCTCAGAACAGAAACTGTTTGAAACTCAGCAATTGATAACCTCCGACAAGTATTAGTTTAGCAGCTACCATTTGATTCAACTGGCTTGGCATCGGCAAAAGCGGGGCTTCGTGACCTTGAGGCTAGGTAATGATCAGAGAGCACTCGCGCGAGAGAGACGCAGGTGCGTCGCGGGCGCGAGCGGCCTCAATTAGATCACAAAACCCCGCCCTAATGGTGCCAAGCCACTTGAATTAAATGTTAGGATACAGATATTTCCATGAGTTTTCTTCTTCTGGTTTTACATGCGCACATATTGTAGACAACAGTGCGTCACCTCTGCTGCAGAGGTTCACTGATTTCACTACTGTAAGCCTTTCTCGTGCTCTCCCAGTGCTAATCTTGGAATTCTTAGAATTCACGCAATGCTGATCATTGCGAATAAATTACAAACAACTACTTATTCTAAAAGGTTTTCCATGTTGATTCTATAGCTTTAGGAGAAAGTTCTGTGTAGCTTCGGGAGAAACTTCTGTAGAAAGAATAAATGCGGACTTAAAACGGTTACTAGGTAAGGCCCAGTAGCCCTCTCAAAGGACAATGAACACCTTGAACTATATCTTTGAGTAAAATTCTTTTGTTTCTTAGGTAAAACTGTGATCAAGCGACAATAACATAGTCATCATTACCACTTGCTACGCATATAATTATCAGCTACAAATCTCGACCAAATATAGCGATTAATTTTTTGCAGGAAACTGCAACAAAGAAAAAAAAAACAGCAGTGTTCGAGCCATTAGAACATTCGAATCATTCGAGTAGTCGAATATCCGGATAGGTATGATTATTCGCATATTCGAATAGTCTAATATTCACCATATGTGATTGTTCGATTTTTCGAATAGTCGAGTATTCGACCAACCTATTTATTCGATTATTCGTTCATTGGAATTTTAATGTAGCATCATTCGAATATTCGAATTCGAATAATCTGAAAATCACAGATCGAATAATATTCGCTCGTTCGAATATTTTTCAGAAGCCGATTATTCGATATTCGTTCGTTCGACGAAATTCTTCAGTCGTTTCAACTATTAGGTTGTCCCGAGAGTTTTGTCGGTATTTTCAAACCACTATAAAACCACACACAATAAACACCTGAATGAGAACCAAGATGCATTCGATGCAGCATTTCCTTCACTCTCTTATGAATACATTCTTGAGCCACAATCTTGCACGCTTTTTTCGATATTTGTTAAAATTCTCCATCCACCAATTTTATCTGCTCAAAGTTTGGCTAATTTTTACATGCTTCATTCTAAAAATTCTGGAATGGTTAAGTATGATTCTGATAGGGCAATTTTCGGACTACAAGGTTGTATTTTTAGATTCTCCTAACCTGCTATATTTAGCTTGAAAAAAATTACTTCGCAAAAGGTCTCGAATTTGGCAAAGTCATGAAACACGCAACTGCAGCAAATACACGAAAGTTTTCGAAGTTTCTGCGAATTGAAAAATGATTCTTACTAAACATTATTTATGCAAACATGATCAAGTATGACTTGCCTTGAAAAAGCAGCTTTTTGGAATTTTCGGCACTTTTACATGGTAAATAATCAAGAAGTCGCGGTTTTTATTAAATAATTAATTATAACGAACTTAATAAACTTGGCTCATGTAATCTAAAATGAATAAAATGTAGCCAAAGGTTTGCTCTACATAACAGTTACCAGCGCTCTTTAAAAGCATCAGGATAAAAAATTTCAAAATTTAGGAAAGATTTGGCGTTACCGCTGAGCTGCTCAAAAAGCCATGGCGACAACATTGCAAATCAGGGTAGATCAGAAAGAAAATATAGCTGTATGACAGAGGATAAAAATCTGAATCAAATGTTACCTAACTTGCCCATGTATTGGTGTTCTGTGAGTTTCGTTATCGGTGAAATAAACCGACACAACTTTCGGGACAACCTAATGTAATGCATACACACGCGTTAGCATAACGACATTGGATAGCTTGCAAAGTGTTTTCTGGCTAACAGAGTAACTGTTAAATCACAAGCTAAGAAATTGCAATCGGGCATTTTCCATACATCCATGATGCCAAGATTTCTTTGGATTTTTCAAAGCTTATCTGTAGCCTTCCTTTATTCCGATCTCACAATGTAAGTAATCTGTCAGTAATCTGTTGTCAGTAATCTACGATCTTTGAGAGTAACCTTCGATTCAATTGGCTTGACGGCTGGAAGGCGGCGCTTTGTGACCTAATTAAGGGCGCTCGCGCCCGCGACCCAGTCTGCGTCTTTGTCGCGCGCATGCCCTCTCATCGTTATCTAGTCATCAGGTCACGAAGCCTTCCAGCCGCCAATCCATTTGAATCAAAGTGTAACAACTTATATATCAGATAATTGCTGTTCTAGTGCTTCTAAATTGATTTGGTATGAAATGACTTGGTTTGGTATGAAATCCCCCGCTAAATGGCTCAGGGTTCATTGACTTATTGCTAGAGGGCCGTGCTCGTAATTTCATACATCTCTTATTGCGCACCTCGTTTCACTGTCCCATTTTTCGACGACTACTTATGTGATATCAAGTTACTAATACCGTTTTTCTGCATGAAAATCGGCACGTAATATGGGTGATCAGGAAAGAATGCCAAGGCTTTTATACTAAATACAAGCAAACACACACAACTCGTAGGAGGTTGATGGAGATCTTGTGCCTTTGTCTTTCAAACTAAAATTGTTGCATATTGGGCAGGCCAGCGAAATCTGTGGAAAGACGTACACATACGATATTCCAACTGAACAGATACCTCTCCGCGATCTCGATAGAGAATGACAGGAACATTGTCAACTTCCGATAGGAAAGCTCTGAATGCGTTTGATTGCCTGCAGAATCTGTAATTTATAAAAGAAGCGTGCACAGCATATATATAACCCATACCGATGAAGTATGTCTTAGTACCTATATCCCGTTAGACCCTGATCTCTCTGAGCTTTGATTTCTACTCCTCCTGGAGTGCATCCATCGCTAACAAACTGAGAGAAAACGTTTTTGAGTCTGATTTGCACTTTTTCTCCTTTTTTGGCAGCCTAGCAAAATGAATACTTTGCATTACCATCAGTGCTGGTATCGGAACCAACCTTGATCCAAAAATGGCAAAACTCATAGTCATTTAGACTACTGCCCCTTTTCCCAAGAGTATACTGTAGGGTTTTGCCCTGGCTTGTAGCTGTCAAAATTTCGCCACACCCAGATGGCTGAAATCAATAGATTGAAGCTAACACTAGTGAAAATTTATGACTGCCCACTCTTTCATCGCATAAGCGACCTCCGTATCCACCAGGACAGATACATTTCGAACAATCTCGTGGATTGGGAAAGCCACCCATTTTGCATCTTGCTGCGGTCGAAATGGACTTGCACTTATCTGAAGTTGCGTTGAAAGCAATCTGCTAGAGCGCGCGTTTAAAATTTTAAAGACCATCACATTTTTTAAACAAAAATTGAGGTCAATTCGCCAACTTAGACATTTTGATATAGCCTTCATATTAGTGGCGAGAAATTCGGCCACGGCTTTTGCGCCCAGCAAACGTCATAATAGCTTGAAAACTCAAACGAAAGTATCACTTCGATAACACCTGTGCAAGAAGACGACGTTTTTCGATCAGTCAACAATATATAAAAGTATGAATAGCATTGTTCATGTGGGATTTGCAGCATTGTTCCTCCTTATTAGTAAGTTTCATAATTTTTTACCGTCTTTATTACAACCGTTGTCTTTTTGTACCTTTCCATCAATTGATGTGCCTTTAGTAACTACTAGCTGGCTTACCCGGCTCCGCCGGCCCTGTCAGAACACTGTCATAAAAGTCCCATCCCTATCCCCGTACAGCCTTTCCCTGTGCCCATTTCTACACTTCATTTTCCGTTCCCTGTGTTTTTTCGAAATCAGCATGCCCACTTACCCCCCCATGCCAACTCCCAGCCCTTCAGCTCAAATTTTGAAAAAATCGATAAAATCGATAAAAGTATTATGTAATACCGAAAACTAATACTGTATTCGTAATCAGCATGCTCGTTTACCCTCTGTGCCAACTCCGAGCCCCGTAGGTGAACTCTACAAAAATCGATAAGAATCGATAAAATCGATATCGATCGATGAAAAGTATGACACGACCCTGCCCCGAAATGTATGTATGCCAAGTTTGGTCCGAATCGGTTTAGAAATAGAAATTTCTATTCCGCACTTACGTACAGACAGACAGACAGACAGACAGACACACATTCAGCTTTATCTATAAGATTCGACAGAGCAGTGAGTTCTATAAGTTGGCTAACAATAGTCTGCCCGTTCGTATTCTACATGAAGTTTTGGGCTGAAATGTGACAGCAGTCAAAAACGAACTTTACCGTAAAAAATCGTATCTCGGCCACAAAAAAAACTTTAAAATTCCCCATTCATCCTAGCATATGATTGACACATCAAACATTTGACTGCACACTTTTCCTACTTTCCCATAGTTAGAAATAAAGAAAAAAATGAATGGAATAAAATGGCAAACTCCGGCCCTAGAACTCCTGAGCTCCTCCCACACACGTGATCATATACAGTGACCGCCAAGAAGTTGCGGACAAGCCTCCCTCCCTTTTTCATCGCTCTTTTACAGGGTGAAAACAAGGATGAAAAAATGTAATTGCATGAGGTGATAGAGCTCTTCAAGATCTACAATCTACACTTTGAGTTTCTTGAGAAACATGTGTTCTAAAAATTTTAGGAATCTTTTTCTAAAAAAAGTCTGAAAATGGCCGCGTCACAATGTCGCGGACTAATTCTTCGAACGCAAAAATTTTCTTTTGAGTCTTATTTTAAAGCGGAAACAAACAAGTTATCCGGATGGGTAAGCATACTACTATACAGAGCTCGTCAAGAACTACACACTGGTTATGGTTGCTTTCCCAAAAAACGCAAGCTTGAGTTTTATTAGGTCGTTCCGAAAGTAATGTCGCTTTTTTCAAAAGAACGCCACATTTTATGGAATCAATATTTTCAATAGATCTCAGGAGCATTCGATGCAGCATTTCATCCTCCTTCTAAAAGTTGCAATTTCATTGCATAATATCTAATGAGCTCTCGAAAAATTACCAAAACCTGCGGCACATGCTTTTTGCCATGGTCAAGTTCGGCTATTTTTCTAAAATTTTGTACCTATTCTGCGAAGAAGCGCAAATGACAGGTAGATAGAAAAAATCCTATAGGACACAGCTTCTTCCTTTTCCTTAGCTTGCTTCTTTGAGTTTCTGGAACCAATTTTTAATGCCATCAAATTCCATATGTGGTCAACTCAAACTTCACAGAACAATAACCAGCAAGCAACTCCGGTGTCATTCGACGCAGCTTTCTCTCCTCTTTCTACTAGTTGTTTTTTGTTTCCATTTATCAAGTTTTCCGGTATAAAATCATCATAATTAAGTTTTTCAGGGCGCCCCAGGCTGTACCCGGAATTTTTAAAAGTTGCTAATCTGAAGCGGTGAATACTCAATGGGTTTGTAAAATTAGTGTCAAACCATAATCCACCTTTGTAAGTTTCAAAATCCGAAGATTCATTGGTGTTTGATGCATTTGTGTCTGAGGCGTGAATGCTGAAATTTGGTGGTTCCATCAAAAAATCTATATAAAAATTATGACGAGCTCTGGAAAGTAGAAAAAAGTTGTGCTGTTTCCTGTAGGGCTTGCTCTATCCATCCATTACTTGGACTCCTTCCGAGGGCTGTTGCAAAAATTTAGAAAAATTGTGAAACATGGTCTTCTCAAAAAGCATGGGTCGCAGATTTTGATAATTTTTCGAAAGGTTATTAGTTTTCGTGCAGTGGTTATATAATCATTAGAAAGAGAATGAAATGGTGCATCAAATGCTTCCAGAACCTTTTACATATCTTTGTTTCACGAGATGTGGCGTTCGTTTGAAAAAATCGACATTACTTTCGGAACGACCTAATATTTTAGTTTTTTCAAAAAACAACTTCTAATTTCCTTTCTTTAAGCCAAATTTCTTCGCATGAGAACCTATTCAAGACATTCCAACAAGGCTATTCGGACAAAATGGATGCTCTTTGCCATTCTTTATGCATCGGACGTGTGTTGATGATTTTCCTGGCTGAAAATGGCCCTTGGCAGTGCTTGCACATGACCCCACCTGCACCTCACCACTGACTTGTACCGCTTTGCAGGCTTGTAGCTCGGCCTGCAGTCAATATTTGAGCCTGCAATTAGGCTCATTCGAAAGAACGAGACTTCCTCTACACGAAGGTATGCAAATAAGTTCAGTTTGAGCAGTCCTAGAGATATGGCGGATGGGGTGGTAGAGGGCAGCTTCAGTTGTAGTCTAAGCACTTTTCAGCTAAAGTTGAAGAGAGCTCCTTTCGCTACCAATTTCATCCTGGAAGTTCAAAACTGTCAATTTTCTTGTAATAGATCCATTTCGAAGCTTTAAAACTGTCCTGGTGTTCATAAGAGCTTTCACTCCAATCACCTCTAAGGCTGCACTTTTTCACAAATCTCTGGGATTGCTCAAACTGAACTTATTTGCATACCCTCGTGTAGAGAAAGTCTCCTTCTTTCGAATGAGCTTAATTGCAGGCTCAAATATTGACTGCAGGCCGAGCTACAAGCCTGCAAAGCGGTACAAGTCAGTGGTGAGGTGCAAGTGGGGTCATGTGCAAGCACTGCCAAGGGCCATTTTCAGCCAGGAAAATCATCAACACACGTCCGATGCATAGAGGATGGCAAAGAGCATCTATTTTATCCAGACGGCTTTGTTGGGATGTCTTGAACAGGTTTCCTTGTGAAGAAATTTGGCTTGATGAAGAAAATTAGAAGTTGTTTTTTGAAAAAACTAAAATAAAACTCAAGCTTGCGCGTTTTTTGGGGAAGCAACCATAACCAGTGTGTAGTTCTTGACGAGCTCTGTATAGTAGTATGCTTACCCCTCCGGATAATTTGTGTTTCCGTTTTGAAATAGGACTCAAAAGAAATTTTTTGCGTTCGAAAAATTATTGTCCGCGACATTGTGACGCGGCCATTTTCGGACTTTTTTTAGAAAAAAATTCCTAAAATTTTTAGAACACATGTTTCTCAAGAAACTCAAAGTGTAGATTGTAGATCTTGAAGAGCTCTATCACCTCATGCAATTACATTTTTTCATTCTTGTTTTCACCCTGTAAAAGAGCGATGAAAAAGGGAGGGAGGCTTGTCCGCAACTTCTTGACGGTCACTGTAGCTCATACACACAGAAATACGACCACGTATTTGTATCCTTTATGTCCCAGTCCTCGAGGAACTGTTCTCTAGGGTAAAAACGGTAAAAAAATTATGAGACACCTTAATAATAACAATATCTGAACGACACATAAACGACATGAAAATACAAACGGTTCCTTTGACTCACCAAGGCACCATAATATTTATTCATCAGTAGTATGTCATAAAACGACACAAAGGGTGAACCCATAGTTTCAAGAAAATTTTTGTCAACTGGAGTAATCGTTGGCATCGATTTGTCTAGAGCAAAGCTAGAAATGCTATCGATGTACAAGGACAAAGCAAGAGCAGTTAATGCTTACGCAAACCTGGGTAATGCATTCTACTGCCGTAGTCGTAAGGTACATCATAATTATTGCTTGTTTCTGTGGTCTCTAGTGCAAAATCGTTTTTCAACAAGCTAGCCTGAAATCTTTTCATACATGCATATTTACTTTTTGAAAACAATCCTTCTTACGGGAATGTTTTTCACGTTGATAATGACGTATTTGTCACGATCATACCTCGAGTGGACATGTAACAATCCAAGAGCATGAGCAAGTTCGTGCGCGGCTTTCGCCAGCTGTGCAAGAACGCGATGAAAGAAGCATTAGAAAGCATAAAATCTCATGAGTATTACGCTGTGACATAAATAACCCAAGGAAAGCTCCTGGATCTGATGAATATTACCAACATAAGAGTAGCATCCCTTGCCTTCAAATATCTCAACGCGTTCAGGCGCTTAAAACCAATTTTGTTGAGCAGTATTCTTGTGTCTGTACTCACAAGTAGCGTTCTCAACCATGTCAATGCAAGTATTATCGTGCCATAATTTTGCCCCTTTCCGAGCAACATCCTTCATTATGGTATTAGCTATAAAAAGGTTTGAGTATTTTTCTTAGCTACTTGTATACATGCTTACTTACTTTCACCTTTTCTGAATGAGAAATAAAGTCTTCTCGGCCACTTCATTACGGCGTTTGTGATTGCTTGTCGTTTCCAACGACCTCCACTCTTCCAGGTCAGTAGCTCAGCTTGTTGTCTGCAGTTGAAGTACATCTCTCTCTCTCATCTCTCTTACCACTTATCAAA